TCTTCTTCCTATTGATATAAAGGGGAGAGAATTCTTTTTTTTCTCTTTTTTTAGATTAATTTTGAGAAGCAAATAAAAATTCGTTTCGTTTCGTTTCGTATGTTTGTTTGTATATTTGTTTAATTGTATGTTTGTATATTTGTTTGTTTCTATGTTTGAGGGGGTAGGCAAACTTTTGATATGTTTGTCGGACATGTCATATATTAAACCCAATAAAGGCTGTGGTTGAATATTTTAGAATGAATCCTCTCTCTCTCTCTTTCTCTTTCTCTTTCTCTCTCTCTCCCTCTCTTTCTCTCACGTTCTCACTTATTTTCATAGACTTTTCAGGATGTTTCAAATTATGATGTTGTTGATGTTGTTGTTGCAACTCACAGTGTGACTTCTCACAAGCAGAATTACTAAACGAGTTGCAATAGACGAAATCGTAGCAGCCAATCTCTAAACGCAATCAACAACATGCAATTGTTGCAACAACAAATGAATTAGGCGCTATACAAATCAACAACAACAACAAACAAACAACAACAACAAAGCCACAACACAACCAAACAACATCCTTACCTCCACAACAAGCAACAACCTCTCAGATAAACCACCCCCACCAACAAACAACAACAACCAGCCACCACAAACCACCAACAACCACCACCACAAAACAGTGTTCCTACAGCGTCTGCTACCGCCAGCGACAAGAAAACGCTCGCCTGGTCGAAGACTTTGCTGAGAGATGGCGCTTGCGACAGAATATTTCCTTCCCTTGCTACTATGACACTGAAAATTCGGGGAAGGTCATTGAGAAAAAGAACTACACTGGAGCTGATGTGGTCCACTGCATGCTGTGGCCATCAGTCTGCATTCTCGTCTGCGCTGCCGTATTTCTGAAGCTGGAGTCGCGGCGGCGCGGGCTAACATTTTGCGGAAGGATTAACGATGAGGTCGTCGGAGAGGGTATGGGAGATAACAACGGGGGTGTAGGGGCTGCCAGGGGCTGTTCAAATAATAATAATAACAACAACAATAATAATGACAATAACAATAATAATAATAATAATAGTATTAAAATAAGTTTGAGTAAGATTAAGTTGACCAATAAGAAAGCAAGGAGCAGCGATGAATGTAACAGCAGTGATAATAACAACAACAACAACAACAACAATAATAATAATAATAGTGACAATAATAAAAATAAAAATACAAACATGTATAATAAGAGTAACAGTCTGGATGGAGAGTTAGATGGGAACCGCTCAAAACATCAACAACAACAACAACAACAACAACAACATCAACATCAACAACAACTACAACTACATCAACATCAACAACAACATCACCATCATCATCATCATCATCCGCGTAATCATCTTTCCCGCAGTAAAGAAGAGTTTCTGGACATTAAAACATCAACAGCATCATCGTCAACAACAACAGCAACAACAAATCCGAATACTTTCAGTACGAACAAAAGTAAGAACAGATCTCTAAACTCCTTGTTGCAGCAACAAAACGACAACAACAACAGCAACAACGGTTTATCAACATCTCAACATAAACAACAACAACATTTTAATAAGTCGCCCAGGTGCAAGAAACAAATGGCTCAACACGCAACAACTATTGATAATAGCAGTCCAACAACATTCGCACAACAACAACAACAACCACGCCTCTACAACAATAAACAACAATTTCAACTTAACATTCAGCAACAACAACAACAGCAACAACAACAACTCGAAGGACATTGTCCGTCAACAACCACAAAATCAAAAACAATCTCAAATAAGATGAGTAACAACAACAATAATAACAAAACTACTACTAGTAATAATAATAATAATAATAATAGTAGTAGTAGTAGTAATAATAATAATAACATGGTGGTCATCGGAAGTGGTGGTGATGAAGATGGTGAGTTTAGGCAATTAATTGACAGTGAAAAAATGTACGTAGTTGCATGATTGGTTGGTTCAATGAATGAATGAATGAATGAATGAATGAATGAATGAATGAATGAATGAATGAATGAATGAATGAATGAATGAATGAACGAACGAAAAAACGAATGAGCTAAGGTTCGAATGAACGTGGAAATAGCGTACAGATGAATGATTGAATAATTGTTTTAATGAACGAACGAAATGAACAGAGATGAACAAATGAACGAACGAATGAGTGAACATATAAATAAATGGACAGATTAATAATTTAATGAACGAACGAATGGAAAATTTGACAAAAAAATCCCGAAAAACCCGCAAAAAAAATTTAATTTTTTCATACATCAAGCTGTTCATCTTTGCGTTCCATACTCTTATCAATACGTACTGCACATAAAACCACGCACACACGCACCCACGCACCCACACAGACACCCAGACAGACATACACACAGATATATAAATAAATATAAACACATAAATATATATATATAATATATGTATTTATATATACGTGTTGTTGAACGTATTTTCATGAAATTAATAAACGCTAAATCATTTAATCAAATTTGTATTTATATATCTATGTGTATATATTTATATCAAAAGCACCATTATTTTATTCTAATATCATAATCTTTGATGTATATATTCTATATTGTATGTTTTTCATATCAACGCACCATATATTATTATTATTATTATTATTATTATTATTATTATCATTATTATTTTCCACTTATAATGTAAAATTTATCAAAAGCGTCGTTCTCAAAATGCAGAAACAAAACAATGTCAGGTTGAAAACAAATAAGCTTTTAATAGTCTTCTGAATGTCAACTGATTTAAACCAGGATCCCGTAAATGGCTTAGGAGGTTGTTTCATATACTAGGAGCTAAAATAGCAAAATTTCTAGAACCTATTCCTAACAGTACCGCCAGAAAATTGGACTCATCAGATGGCAAACTGACATAATGAAGAACGATTTCATCTATCAAATATCAAGCTGCCAGGCTGTTGATGCATTTAAATATCATTACACAAGTTTTAAACAGAACACGATTTTCGATAGGCAACCATTGTAGTTGATTTAAAATTGGCGAGATTAGGCGCCAGACACAACTCTGGGCGCACGATTCTGAACTGACTGTAGCTTCGTAACTGACTTTTCAGGTAGGCCGTTGAACAAACTGCTGCAATAGTCCAAACGCGAACGGATAAATGCACGCATCATCATCTTAAGAGTATTTTTGTCTTGAGATTTCTGTATCAATTTCAACATGTGCAATTGGAAAGTACAGACTCTCATCAGTGATTTTATGTGATAATCCACCAAACTTTAAAATCTTAATTTTAGATCAGGCTTTATTATAATAAATTTGAAAAGTATGATTTGAACTATGAGAGCACTGCCCTCTTTCAACCAAAACTTCCACATAACAACTCTTTCAATTACGAAGATGTGAAATCGGCCTGTAATTAGTAATATCATCAGCATCATGATCTATTCCAATCAAGAGGTGGGATAACCGTTGTATGTCAGTGCCAATAGTCAATAATGTGTTGATGAGGCTTGCTAAAAATTTAGAAAACAAACCATACACATATATATATATATATTTTTATATAATTTTATACGGATAATAATAACATATATATATATATTATTTTATAATTATTCATAATAATATATTATTTTATAATCATTCATGATAATAATAATGATAGTTAATCTTTTAAAAGATGATTCGAGAGAATAAGTAAGAATTCCATTTTTTTATATATCGCACTTCGTTAGATGATTTTAGAAAATTTCATTTTCTTTCATTTCTACATATGTTACACACGCACGCACACACAAACACACACAAACACACACATGTATATATATTTAAAAATGTATATAATTTTCATTATTTCAAATACAAATTTCTATATTCATGTACTTTTTAACATTTCATTTCATTCCAATGCTCACCTATTTATGTTAGCTTGCAAATTACAATAACAACAATAATAATAATAATAATTATTATTATATTATCCTTGTTTAATTTATCTTTTCTTAGGACATTTCGTCTAATAGTTCGCGACGACGACGATGACGTCAGCAACGATACATTAGCAAATTTTACAATATTCAAAATAATAACTTTTCTATGCAAGTGAAAAATGTTTTTTCTTTGTTTTCGCAATGTTTAAATTGTGTTATCTATGTTGACGTTTTATTTATTCATTTTTTCCATCAATTATTACACCACATCTATTTAATATCTTTTGTTTTTCTTGGTCTACAATTTCGATTTTTTTTCAAATTTTTTAAAGCCTATTTCGGCAATTATGCATAATACTATACAACTAATTTTAACAAATAAAGATAAATGAACAACAGGTAATGGTAATATTTCCATGGATACCTATGTATAATGATCACTTCCTACCATATTTATTTTTCTATGTTCCTAATTAAAGAAATTTTCAGTCGCACAATAAAATTGAATTAACGAATTTATAATAATGACTTCATTTTTGGGGGTTATGAATATTGCAAAACTTGAAAAAATGAAAGAACGAGAGAGAGAGAGAGATTGATGCGAAAAAAGAAAGCAGAGGGAGAGAAATATTAGTAATAAATGTTACGACATATTTTTACCCTATTCACATTTATTGATTTCAAATTTAATTCATCGAAGTTTAAAAACTGGAAAAAACTCTCTTTACCTCTCTCTCACTCTCTCTCTCTTTCCCTTTCTCTTTAGCTTCATCTCTCTTTCTCTCTCTTTCTCTGTTTTCATATCTAACCATAATATAAAAATGCACTTTAGACTATGGTGTTCGTTAAATCACTCAAGAACAATTATCTCAAATCAATCATTCACACACATTAACACACACACACACACACACACACATCCATATGTATATATATACACCCGAAAAAGCATAGGTTATATGTATGTATGTGTATATGTATGTATATATGTATGTGTATGTATGTATGCATGTGTGTGTTTGTATGTATGTAAGTGTGTTTGAGCGTATCGTAATTCTTAAGAATGACACTTATCGTTAGTGTTGTAGATAATTTTTGCAAAGTAAATGAGTTATTCAAGTGCCAGAGTAGTTAAAGTCATTACATCAACCAATTAACAATAACAATAATAATAACAACAATTATAACAACAACAATAATAACAATAATAATAAACTTCTCACACATGAAGAAACAACGAAGGGTAAATAAGATTGACACAGTTAACATACCCAAGAACACCATGAATAGAAATGACAACAACAACAACAACATTTTTTCCAACATTAATAACAACAATAATAATAATAACAACAACAAATACAACAAGAATAATAATAGTAATAATAATAATAAACAGCTCTGATGTATTTATAAATATTTGTTAGCATAACATTGCCTAGCATTAGACGATGAACTAATATAAGTGCTATTTATAATATATATGTATATATTTGTATGTATATACTAATATATATATATAATTCAAATATATATAATTTAGTTTATATATAAGCTAAGTTGGTTTCAAATTTAAGTTACTGATGATAAAGACTTATTGAGATAATGTAGCTATTGTTACTGGTCGAATTAGCATAATTATTTTCTGTGTTGTTATTGATATCTTCATCGTCGTTGTCATCATCATCGTCTTGACCAAAAGATTCACCATCGTCGGATTCACTATCGTAAAGTTTAAATTATTATCGTCAATAAAATTAAAGTTTTTGTGTCTCATTCGCTAAATTAAAAAATAAAAGTTTAAATTATTATTAACAATAAAATTACCACTGTACCATTATAGATCGTCATAGTTCTCGGCTTTGACATCATCATCATCATCTTCTTCTTCTTCTTTATTATCATCACCATCATCATCATTCCAGAAAAAAAACACAAAAGAAAAGCAGAATGTCTGGTCAATATAAGCAAGAAGTCTGTTGGAGCGCTTTGGAGAAAATCATTAATGCATCATCATCAGTACTTTCATCATCGTCGTCGTCGTCATCATCAGCAGCGGCATCATCATCATCGATATTCATCTCCAACTTAACGTCAATATTATCGGCTTTAAATATTTCGCAGCTGAAGATTTCCGGAAACGGAAATACATCGAGTTATGGTAACAGTAGTGGTTATTATGGTGATGATGACGTCAAGATGAAGATGAGTAGTAAACAGGGATGGGCGGATTGCGCCGATGAAGTTCCGACATCTTATAATATGTTTAAAAGTAAGTTTCGGTTTTTTGTGTCTCATTCGCTCGTTTACCTGATCGTTCGTTTTTCATTCTTTTATTTAGCCACTAATTCATTCAATCATTCACCGGCTCATTCATTCACTCATTTATCGTTAATTAATTCATCCATTCATCTGCAGACATGCCGCTCTACGGTATTATTGTTATCTCCATCCTAATTTTGCTGACTGCTACGACTTTCGGCCTCTACATAGAGGAGATATTCTTCATATACAATAATTTCAAAATTAGGACCAGAGCTACCAAAACCGTCTGGATTCTTGGGTTTTTCCCGGTGGGGTCTCTTTGGTTGAGTTTCTATTTTTAGAATATTTTAGAGTTTCTACTTTAGATTTTCTATTTATAGAAATTGTTAGGGTTTTGATCGTTAGAGTTTTTTTGATCAGCAGTTGAATTTATAGTTTTGTTGATTATTATTCATTCATTCATTCATTCATTCACGGTATTCATTCACTCGACCAGATTTTTTCTTTTACCGGATTGATAGGAACCGTAGTACCGAGATCCGGTCCGCTTGTTGACATGGTTGCCAATGTGTTAGTCCTGATAATGATGAGAATAATAATAACAATAATAATAACTATAATTATAATTATAATAATAATAATAATAATAATAATAATAATAATAATAATAATAATAGGAAGAACAATTACATGACCAAAAAACTGCAAACCTAAAAAATTGTGTGTATCCTAAAAAATGCACAAAAGGTTCTTCGGCACCTGCCTGTACAACTTCGGCCAGCTGATGATAAACTACATGGGCGGTCACAGACGGTTGTGGCAGATGGTGGAGAGGGGCAGGGAACTCAAGTTGAACACCCTCCCTGTATGTTGCTGTTGCGTCTGTCTGCCCGTTTCTCAGTTTAGTAGGTCAGTCAATTTTTGGTTATGTAGGCCAACTGTGGTGCTCAAGGTTCAGACATTCTAAATCTATATCTCCAATGTAGTAGTTAAGTCTACTTTTTGTTTTGAGGGGTGTACAAGACTTAAATGTACAACCCCTCAGTAAGCGAAGTCAAATTTTTCCGGTTCCTTTCTGGTGTCTTTGTCTGCCTATGTTAAATCATTGCATATTATTGCAAATATAATTACAAATATTAAATTATTATTATAATTAATAATTAAATATTATTATTCTTACAAAATTTATCCAAAGGCGAACTTTCTTCCGAATAACGTTCATGATAATGCAGGTGGCAGTTGTCAGGCCAGTCATCATGTTCGTGGCAGCCGTACTCTGGACTGACGGCATATACAGACCCGGAGACGTAAGTTAAGTTGGTTGTAGTTGTTGTAGTTACTGCTGGCTGCTTCTGAAGTTAACGTCGCCGCCGTCATCGCTGCTGTTGTCATTATTATAATTATATAAATGTCGAAATAATTTTCATCCTTATAATTAATCATGATCGTCTAAGTTAAGTCATCATCTTCGTCATCATCGTTTTCATCACCCTCATCACAAACACGTCACCAACCACTAAATCCTAACCAGACGAGCTTGAACAACG